AAGGGGACGGATGAAATTCTCACTGAGTTTATCGGGGCTAATTAAGGCCATCTTTGGCTGCGCTGAGCGCTGCACGCTGCCAGCTATCCGTTGGGCACACTTCGGCACCCAATGTCAAACACGGGCAGGGGCAGTGCCAGGCAGAGCTACATCAAACAAGTTTTGTAAAGTGTGCGCATCCTAAGATGCGAGATGGATGTCTGCTAGGTCTTGATACGTAGTTCGCAAGGCCATGGCGTGCATTTGCCCAGTGCCCAGGCTTGCTGATGTTGATGGGACGCAGAGCAGCAACAAAGCAAGTCAATACATCCACGGGGCGGGCCACGACTCACTTGCAACCGTAGACCTTGCTCCCGTTCACCACGATGAGCTCGTGGTTGTCCACAATCGGGTTCTTCACCTCCAAGGTGGCCGGGCACAACTTGCAACCTCCTCGGCACTTGCAGAGGTCGCCGGCTTGTTTGGTGTCATTGCAGTCCACCCGGGTGGCGGACTCCACGCAGCACACCCGCGTCTCGCTGGCGATGGCCGGCGCGCAGAGGTCGTCGGTGACCCCGCAGCCCATGAGGACGCAGTTCGTGTGGTACTTCTTCCCGCTGATGCCAGAGGAAAAAACAACTAGACGAACGTTCGCTCTCGGAGGTCCACGCGGATTGCTCGGGTCGGCGAGGGGCCCCCCGTCTGAAGCGCGAGGCGCGCTGGGGACAACGCCCGAGGCGCCGCCAGGGAAGTCCAACGCAAGGGTCCGAGGAATCCGAGCGGACCTCCGAAAGTTTATGTTTGTGCAGTTGTGTCTTCTTCGGGATGCGCGTATCGCTCGTCTGAAAGTGCCCGCCCACCTTGGTGCTCTTGCCGCAGTCCGCGACCTTTGTGTCGAAGACAACGATCAGCTCGACGTTATCGACAATGGGGTTCTTCATCTCCCCCACGACTGGGCCCACCTTGCAACCCGACCTGCAGAGGCACAAATCGCTCGCCTGCTGGCAGTGGATGGGGTCGATGCGAGTGCCCTGTTCGACGCAGAGGCACCGGCACTCCGTCGCGAAGACAGGATGCATCAGCTCGTCGTTGCAGCCGCATCCCACACAAAACAAGTTGCTGTAGAATTTCTTGCCCGAAACACTGGTGTCGGAGGACTGCAGCTTGCCACCGACCTTGCCCGACGACTGGCCCATGGCGCAAGTCCTGCACGAAATCGTCCAGAACTGTGCAGAAGGATGCCCGTCAGCTCACGACACATCTGTGCGCGGATTGGGCCAAAAACAGATCCAGAGGCGACGACCTGTACCCTGACTGCTCTGGCTGGTCCGACTGGCTTAACATGTCTGGCTGGGCTAGAACCCGTCTGGCTTTAGGTCGGGCGTGTCCTCCTACAGGCGGATTTTGACGAAACATGAAAAACAGTCAAACAAAATTCAAAACATGCCAAAAATAAAAGTCGTCAACAAATGTCCCCTGACTTGTTTGTAAGTATTTTGGATGTTCCTCCTGTAGGGGGACGTGCCCGACGAAAGTCTGGCTGGCTTGGCCTGTCTGTCGGTCACCTCAGGCCTCCCTCCAGCCTCCTCCCCTCCCCCTCCAGCCTCCCCTTCGCCGCGCTCCCTCGCGGGCGGGGAGGAGGATGAGGAGGAGGAGGAGGAGGAGGAGGAGGAGGGGGAGGAGGAGGAGGAGGAGGGAGAGGAGGAGGACGAGGAGGAGGAGGAGGAGCCCAAAACAGCCTCAAATATCGCCCCAGAACAGCCCCCCGAAGATCGCCAGCAGGTCCTCAAGAAACCAACCGAGACCCCAATGGCACCACAAGAGGCCAGAAGAACCCCAGCACCCCAAGGGGTCGACGCTGCGTCGTAAGCCTACGAAGACCTGTCTGTGACATGACAACTGCCTGCTTCACGCAGCTAGCGACAACAACGAGCACCACCTCGACGGGAGCTGCAAGGAGGACGACCGGAAGGGGGGAACGTCTCGCAGGACAGAACGCGGTAGAGGGGGCGGCGAGTGCGGAGGGGGGGGTGAAAGAGAACGGGGGAAGGATGGACGTGTCTCCTCCTCCTCCTCCTCCTCCTCCTCCTCCTCCTCCTCCTCCTCCTCCTCCTCCCCCCTCCTTCTCCTCCTCCCTATGCTCCCCCCTCCTCCTTCTCCCCCCCTCATCCTACTCCTGCTGCTGCTGCTGCTCCTCCTCCTCCCCTCCTCCTCTCCTCCTCCTTCCCGAGGAGGAGAAGAGAAGGGGAAGGCCCAGACCCTGGACGTGTCTGTGGCAACGCATGGGAGCCTCCCGCATCATCTTGCTGCCGCCTGCGAATCGACGTTGATCGGCGCTAAACCGACGCTGCTGATCGACGCTGCATCGCCGTCACCTCATCGACTACCAGACGCTAATCGACGCCAACGCGCTCTAAAAACGGAATTGCGAGGAAAGACAAGGCTCCCGTGATTTACCACCGGAATGCCCCGACTTCATGTTTTTTCACAACGTCCACCCTCAGAAGTCTCGACTCACTCCGCGGGACCGTTTTTTTGTCCTGAGTCGATTCCTGGCGGTCCCCAGGACTGGCGAAGGCTCCTAGAGACACAATAAATAGAGAACCGCTCCTCGTTAATTCTCACGACGCGAAGGAGTCTGGGATGGCGACGACGAGGGCCTGGAGCATGTGTTAGACCTGGTTGTCCCCGTCTTGGGTATTCAAAACCTCAAGAAGCAAGGACCGACCCACGTGGCCTTCCGATAGGCCTACGACGACATGCTCTTAGAACCGAAGAATGGCTCAATCACAGACAGTCGTCTTATATCATAAAACCTGTGTTGAACCAAGGCTGCCTCGGCAAGACATGTTCAAACATATTTCGCGCCAACAATAGAAAGCCCTTAGAGAACATCTTTGGTGGGCCTGTAGGCAAGCCATGACGCTTCGCCTCTCACTGCATGACTCCAGGGAATGCCCGGCGCGGATGAGCTGGAACCCCCCCACCTGCGGCGTGCCCTCCAACTCCCCTCCCTCGCGGCCTGGTCCCCGAGGTGGAACATCAGGTCGATCTCGCCGTCTTTGCACAGCTGGGCGACCCGGTTCCAAGGGTTCTCGGGGCCGGCCACGGTCACCCCGCCCCCGCGCCCTCCCTCGTCGCTCTTCTCCTCTTCTTCCTGCTCCTCCTCCTCCTCCTCCTCCTCCTCGCCCCTCGCCTCTCTCCCTGCGGCTGCTCTTGCTGGCTCCTCCTCCTCCTCCTCCTCCTCCTCCTTCTGACCCGGGTCAATCCAGACCCGGGACAGTCAGGCCTTGCAGAATCCTGTGAGATGCTGCGCCCAAACCTGGGCCAACGCGAGGGATCCTGCACCCAAACCCGGGTCAATGCGACCCTGGCCCTGCAGGATCCTGCAAGATCGGGCGCTCTGAGTGGCTGACCCCCGTTTGCATTGACCCCCGTCTCAAGGCTCCCGAGGCGGCGGGGGGGGGGTTCTACCGTCGGACCTGGGCTCAGGTCAGGTATGTTCTCCTATAGGTGGGTTTTGCTGGAGAAATTAAAAAATAATAGTCGAGGCATGCTTGTGGCAGGAGGGTCAGATCACAAAGCGTCATCGTCAGGCTATCGTGTTGCTGCTCTGGAGTCTTCCTCCTGCAGAGGGATATGCCCGACGTAACCCTAGGCCAGAAAAACATTCCTCAAGAGCATGAGACATTTTGCTGGCCAGCACACCCCAAATCACAAGAGCACGGAGGGTACAATTCCCCAGGATGCGCAAGAACATCCAACAGACACGAAGAGCAGTAGGATACCCTCCCCGAACCGACCTCGCTCTCATGCCTCGGTCCGACTGCACCCCGCCTCCCCTGCACTGGGGAGAAGGGTGGGCTCCCAAATGCGGTCCGAGCAGATGGGATCGGAGGCGCGCTCCGAATCGCCAATGCATCGCCGATGCGTCGGCGACGTCGGCGCCGTCGGAGGGGAGAAAATCGTGCTGCTACACACCTGAGCCACATCGCCAGTGCGGCGGGGACGCGGCGCGAGCCCCCGATACCGCCTACCCGGGCCCCATCCAGGAGGCCTGGACTGGGGAGTCCGCCTGTTTCCCCGCCCCGGCACAGGGGGCGCCTGCCCCACCCGGAGAATGCTCCGAGGATCTCCGGGGGAGCATGCCATAGAAGGTGCGAAGTTTGACCACAACCAAGTTTTGCGTTTCGCGCCCTTCTCGCTTCAAAGCGAGAGCATTCTGGGGCATTCCACGTGGCATCGTTCTGGTAAACCTCTGGCAACGCGATCGGCTCCGAACTTGCCCAGGGAACGATAGCAACCCGACAGCAGAATCTGCAAACATGAGCGTAGAGGCTTCTTGGATGGGGTCCAAGTAGCTGAGGTCGGAAGATCGCGCCGCATCCCCGATGCATCGCCGATGCATCGGCGATGCAACGGCAACGCTGGCGATGCATCGGCGACGTCGGCGTGAATGATATCGGGCTCCCCATCGGGCCGCATCGCGGATGCATCGGCGAAGCGGCGCGATCCTCCGACCCTATCTGCTCGGACCCCATCTGGGAAAACTAGAGATGACCACTCGAGCAGGGACCGAACGTCCCAGCATTCGCATAGGCCTACCACGGACATGCTCGTAAACCCAGAAATGTCCCAAGAACAAAACCAGTGTTCTCGGCACATACACCCGATGTGGTAAGACGAGACAGTCTTAGCCAGACATGTTCTCATGAGCATGTCATGCAGACCACAAAAGGCTCTTCGAACATTCTTTGGTGGGCCTATAGGAGAGCCAGGACGCTTCGCCACCGCTTGTGCCACGTACGTTTACACACGTCCTCGGCATCTCTCGGGGGCGCGCAAACATGGATTAGCGATCCATGGATTTGGCGCGCGGTCGCCAAATCCATAGATTGGGGGAGGTGCCCTCCCCAAAATGCGGCCGGTGCCGCCTCGCTTGGCGGCGGAAATCCGCCATTTCCTAGGGAAACGGGACCCGCCGCTAATCCACGCCCCCTTGATCCATGTTTGCGATCGCCGGAATCTCTCATCCGACGTGCAGAGGTGAGGTGGCCCCCGCGCAACCAGCCGTGGGGCCTCGCCCTCGAGGCATCGGGGGAGCCGCCCCTTCTTCGGCGACAGGGGCTGGCGGCCAGCGCGGAAGCAGAGCGGGGATCTGGCTCTGCCCGCGCAAGCGGGGCGGAAGGCCGGCGGAAGCCCGCGGAAGCAGGGTGCCGTTCGGAAGGGGCCGCACAGTGCCCCCCTGAGGGCCAGCTTCTTCACCCCCCACTCGGGCCACCCCCCTCGTGTTGGGTCGGGCCTGTCCCCCTGCAGGGGGTTTTTGGATGAAAAATTAGACATAGGCCCAAAAAGCAAAACAGAATCCACAGATATGAAGGGGCCCCAGGACACACAAATAAATACACACACATAAAAATGTTGCCCATGTTTTCCCATATCCATATTTTGGGTTTTTTTTTGTCTTCCCCCCACTTCCCATAGTTTCGCATATGTTCTGGGGAAGCGACGATTCATTGTGTCTGTGTGTTTTTTTGTTCCCTCCTGAAGATAGAAGCAGCATCGTCCCCAGACTATCTGCTCACTGTTGTCGACTATACCCCCCCCGTAGAGGGACACGCCCGACTGCACCCTGCAGCGGCACTCGCCCGGCTTTGTGCCGCCGCGCGGCCCTCCGTCTCCAGAGAGACCTCCTAGATTTATGTCGGGCGTGTCCCCCTACAGAGGGATTTTCGACGAACCATAAAAGATACCCCAAAAATACCCCCAAATTGTCAAACAGTGCTAAAAAAATCAGTCCCCAGACTATTTTTGGAAGATTTTTTGACTATGTTTGGGGTATTTCTCATTTTTCGTGGAAAATCCCCCTGTAGGGGGACACGCCCGACTTAATCCTAGATGGGGTCCGAGTTGATGGGGGTCGGAGGATCGCGCCGCATCCCTGATGTGTCGGCGATGCACCGGCCATTCAGAGGCGACGACAGGGGCGAATTCATAGCCAAGGGGGGGGCCATACATGTAACGCCCACCCCTGGGCTATTCGCCCCTATCGTCGCCGCCGAGCCATGCGTCGGCGACGTCGGCGATGCACCGGCGACGCCGGCGTGGAGAAGCGCGTGCTCCACACTGGGCGGCGTCGTCGATGCATCGGCGGTGCGGCGCGACCCTACGACCTCCTCCTCCTCCTCCTCCTCCTCCTCCTCCTCCTCCTCCTCCTCCTCCTCCTCCTCCCTCCTCCTGCTCTTTCTACCATCTCCTCCGGCCCCATCTGGGAGAGTCTAGGACGATGGGGGGGAGGGCGCCGCGGGCGCCAGGACAACTCGCCGTCGCTCGGACGTCCACTTCCCGTGCATTTTGTTCGGTCTCGTGCGTTTTTTTTTTTGCTCGATGGTCCAGGATGGTCCTCGATGGTTCTCGCCGAGAGAAAAAATGCACACGTCCGAGCGATGCCAAGGAGCTATGCAGGATGAGCTGAGCAATTTGTAATACATGGGATGTTTTTTAAAAAATGGGATGTTTAATACATGATTAATGTATGAATACATTCATGCATGAACTCATCGTTGTCTTCAATACTAAACCCCTGCATTTTTAATACATGATCCGCACGCGGAGCATGTATTAAAAAACAGCACACGTCCGAGCGATGCCAGGACAAACGCCCCAGGACTTCTCGGCCAACCTCTCGGCCTTCTCGGCCAACCTCTCGCGGCCCAGGCGGCCGACCGACGGGGCCGCCCGCGGCTCCGGGGCCCGTCTTGCGGGGCCCGCCCGCGACGGCGGCCGAGGTCGGGGGCGGCCCGGAGGAGGAGGAGGAGGAGGAAGAGGAGGAGCAGAAGGAGGAGCAGAGGGGGGCGTCCAAGAGGAGGAGCGCAGATCGTGGCCGGCGGCACGTGCGCTGCCCAAGGGGGGGGGGGCGGGGAGGCGCACTGAAAGAAGAAGGGGCGCCATGAGATCTGGGGAAATGATCCTCGTGAGCACAGCCATGACATCCATCCCCCCCCCATAGTCATCACCCCCACGGGGGAGGGGGGGAGGGGGAGGAGGAGGGGGAGGGGGAGGAGGAGGAGGAGGAGGAGGAGGAGGAGGAGGAGGAGGAGGAGGAGGAGGAGGAGGAGGAGGAGGAGAGGAGGAGGAGGAGGAGGAGGAGGAGGAGGGGGAGGAGGAGGAGGAGGAGGGAGAGGGGGAGGGGGAGGGGGAGCAGGAGGAGGAGGAGGGGGAGGGGTAGCAGGAGGAGGAGGAGGAGGGAGAGGGGGAGGAGGAGGAGGAGGAGGACGGGGAGGATGGCGACCCCCCGCCCCCCTGGCACCGCTCGGGCCCTTTGTCCTCGGCCATCGAGCCAAGAGGACAGCAACAAAAAACACGCACGACACACAGACACACACAGACAACAGACACACACACACACAGACTCACACATTCACACACACAACAAAAAAATAACACGCACGACATCGAACAACGAACGACACAAAAACACTAGACAAAAACACGCGCGGGACATGGACGCCCCAGCGATGGCGGGTCCCTCTCCGTGGGGCGCGGCCGCGCGCGCTGCCGCGCGGGCGGCGCGGGGGGGAGGGGCCGCCTCGGCGCCTGCCCGGCTTCGGGGAGGGGGGGGCCCTCGACTGGGTGCCACAGCCTGTGGGTCGAGCTCTTTGGATGTGCGGTCGGAGGCCTCCCAGAGGGGGTCGGAGGACGGGCGATGCATCGCCGACGCACCAGCGATGCATCGTCGACGCCGGCGATGCATCGGCGACGTCGACGTGGAGAACATCGGGCTTCACATCGAGCCGCGTCGTCCATGCGGCGCAAGCCTCCGACACCATCTACTCCGACCCCATCTGGGAGGCCTAGAACAGTGGTGGGGGGGGGGGGGGGGCGTTTCTCCTCGATAGGGGTGCGTCCGAGCAGCCCCCTGGAAGTGTATCCCTGCCTTTCCCCTCCTTTGGGAGGCGACCTGGTCTTGAGGGGGGGGCAGCTCGGGATTGGGAGCGACACAGCGCCTGCGAGAACAAACATCTCGTCTGGCGTGCGTTCAAAACTTTGCGGAGCATCGCTGAACCGAGCCCTGTCCCCATCGGCGTGGCCTGGGCCCCACTGGCCGATTTACCCCCCCCCAAATAGGGATATAGGCTGTTTCCTTCGGGTCTCGAGGGGCATATCCCCAACCGGGGTGGTGGGATGGCGGGCATCGGGACGGGGACCCAGACCCCCGACGTCCTCACGCTTTCACGGCGTCGGCCTCCAGAGGTCTGGGCCCCCTCCCTTTGGATCGGTTTCTGATCCCGAGGCGTTCCTTGACGGCCCCGAGGCCCGGCAGGGGCCCGGCCGAAGATGGCGAGACACCTCCGCCGCGATTCCTTCACGACGCGCGGGGGCCGGCAAAACGACACCGACTGGCGGGTCCGCCTCTGGACCGACCCCCTGCGCCGGGACGCGGTGGCCGCACGCCCGAGGCAGAGCGCCCTTGGACACCCGGGCCGCGGGGCCGCGGAGGCCTCGTGGCGCGGCGGCCGCGGCCGAAGGCGACGACGCCGACGAGGCCAACGGAGCACACGGCGACGCCGCCGCCGGCGCCGCCGCCGCCGACGCCCCCCCGCCGCCGCGGACGACGAGCACGTGGGCGACGACGAACTAAAGCGACGACGAGGACTACGGCGTCGCCGACGAGAGCCGAGAGAGCGCGCACGCGAAGGGTGCGAGAGCACGGCGCCCTGCGGCGAGCGCGAGGAGCGCGACGACGAGGAGCGCGCCGGCGAGGTGCCGGGGGCGGCCCGGGCAGGGACGAGCGCGCCCGGCCACGCGCACGCAGGCGGCGCCCCCCCCCACGCCCTGCCCGCTGACGAGGCCGCGAGTCCACAGAACACCTGCCACGAGAAAAACCCAGCCCAACGTGAGGTTTCGTTTGGCTTCTGGGGGGACAGAAAGTGGCATAAACATAGCAACTCGGAGGTCCGCGCGGACTTCTCGGATCGGCGCTGGGGCCGCCCAGCGGCGCCTCCGGCGCCGCCCCTGGCGCGCTCCGCGCGCCAGGGAGGGGGTCCAGCGCCGATCCGAGTTTTTTATTATGTTTTAAAGTTTTTATGTTTTATGCCACTTTTTGTTTCCCTATTTTCGTTTCCTGGTTAATTCTGCTCCACCTGTTTTTCTGTACCTCCCTGCCAAAGCGAACAACACAACACAACCGAAGTCCAGCTCTGCCTGAGACCCCAGGGCGTCCATTGATTTCCAGTGCGGGAGCCGCACGCTTTCCATAGCAAGATAATCGAAACCCAAGAGGCCCAGGGCACCCTGGAGGCAAGCAGGGTGCTTCTTGGCATGGGTCTCCACTGTGCAGATTGGCGGCGAGCGCGGGGGGGAAGCGAGAAAGGGCGGACCTTCTGAGAAGGTCGGAAGTCCCCCCCCCGCCTTCCAAGAAGTGCCCTGAGCCTTCCCCGAAGACACTGGCATCTTGTCAGAGGGCGCGGAGGCTTCTGAAAAGTGCCGCCGCCTTCTGAGAAGGCCTGTTCCTTCTCACTTCCCCCCATCGCTCGTTGCCGAATAGACACATATATAATATAATATAATAGAATATAATATAATATAATATAATATAATATAATATAATATACTATAATATAATATGATATAATATAATATAATATATATATATATCATATATAATGAAATATACACGCAAAAACATATAATGTTGTGGAGGTCCGCGCGGATTGCGTGGAGGACCTGCGCCGGGGAGGGCACCTGAGGCGCCGCCAGGGCTGCAACGCGCACTCGAGAAACATCCGCGCGGGGCCTCGAAAATGCACGTGTCCGCGAATTCTTCATGCTCGGGCTCAGGCCAACCGGGCGAACTCTCCGTTGCCCTGGCTTCGAATTCAGAACGGCCGTGGCGTCTGCGAGGCGCCGGGACGGCGTCCGGCCTGGGCGACGTGGCCTCGCCGCAACATGCAAAAGCGCCGGCCATGGTACACCCTGCGGAATGCTTAAGAAATCATGGGTTAAGAAATTCATAGTCTCAGAACTTGAATAAGAACCCAACATTTCCATTAAAGTCTTAAGATTTACATTGAAACATTAAGAATAATCGAGACTCTGGCCGAAAACTTGGGTTTTCTTAAGCATCGCCTAAGGTGTATATCGCCAATCTCGATACTTTCTGCTCCTTCCGCTCTGACTTCTCCGCCCCAGCCTGCCGTGTGCAGGCGCCGGTGCTCTTCTCCCGAGCGGGGACAAAAAAACAACGGCGAGCACACGCCGCAGGGGCCTCGTCGGCGCGGCGGCCACGGCGAACACGACGAGGACGCCGACGAACACGGAGAAAACGACGACGCCGACGCCGACGCCGCCGCCGCCGCTGCCGCCAGCGCCGCCGCCGCTGACGAAAACGTCGTCGACGACGACGACGACGACGACGACGACGACGACGACGGCGACGACGACGACGAGGACGACGACGACGACGACGGCGACGACGACGACGACGACGACGACGACGGGCGGCGACGACGCCACCGCGAGGCCCGCGCCCGGCGTCCTCCACCTTGCACTTCGGCTCGTCCAGCCGCCAGGGGCACCAGTCGCAGCTCACTGAATGGGAGGGGGGCGACCGCTCTCGTCTTCGGACGCCCGCGATGGGTGCGGACAGTACCAGAGGAGGCCCGACCACAAGAAACCGTCCACAGGAAACCCAACCCTGAGACCCCAGGACGCCCATGGATTTTTGGCGTGGGGACGCCACGCTCTCCATCGCAGAACCATCGAAACCCAAGAAACCCAGGGCACCCTGCAGGCAGACAGGGTGCTTCTTGGCATGGGCCCCCACTGAATGCCCGAGATGTGTACGGACAATAATGGGTACAGTGCCCAGCAACAATGTACAAAACCGACGGCGGCCGCTGTTGGGCAGGCGGCTTTTTGTCCCAATGTCCCCTCCTCCTCCTCCTCCGCCGCCTCCTCCTCCTCCTGCTGTGTCTGGGCCTCCGTATAAGTGAGCCGAAGTATGAGCCAAGTCTGCATATGAGCTGTTTCCCTGCGCCCGCCAACCTCAAACACGAGCGACCACTTGCCGGCGAGATGCACCAAGCAAGCCTGGAGCCACGCAAGGGCCAACCTGCAATAGGCGGCGAGCCAGTACGTGAAACCTTGGCTCGTGCAGAAACCTGTGGCAAATTGCGTATGCTGTCCAAACAGGGGGGGGTCAAAAATTCTTCCTCGAAGCCAAGCTGTGGCGTGAAATCACGGATGGACCCGGTACACCCGAAAGGCGATTTCGAACCTAATGCCACGACCTCCTGGGCAGTCCACAAACGCACTACACATGGCGTAACTTCGAACAGCTCCGTGAATAACCACGTAAACTTGAACGACTAGCAAAAACTAAAATAGAGGAAGAGAAGGAGGAGGAGCAGGGGGAAGAGGAAGAGGGGATGTGAAAACAAAGGGGCAAGGGCGCTGTGCGGATGACCCCAAACGGCCACGTACATCACCAAACAACGGACAGCGGCACTCGAAGGGGAAAGGGAAGGAGGAGAGGACGGAGAAACTAGCGGCAGACTGAGACAGAACGACCGCCATGAAAGATCACGGGCGGCTGGGGAGCAACTAAGGAGCACGCCCTCGATGACGAAGTAGTAAGAGAGGAGTAGCTCAGCAGAAGTAGTAGTAGTAGTAGTAGTAGTAGTAATAGTAGTAGTGGTGGTCGTAGTAGTAGTAGTGGTAGTCGTAGTAGAGGCAGTAGTTGTAGTAGCCATAGTGTTCGTATTCGTACTAGTTCTATACTAGAATTAATAATAGTAACAGTAGTAGACGTCGCGATAGGACTAGTAGTAGGCGTAGTAGCAGTCGTAGTCGTAGTAGTAAAAGTAATATTGGGAGTCGGCGTCGTAGTAATAGTAGTCGTAGTAGAAGTAAACATACTCGTAGCAGTACTACTACTACTAGTGGTAGTAGTAGTAGTAGTAGAAAATAGTAGTAGTAATAGTAGTGGTAGTAGTAGTAGTAGTAGTAGTAATAGTAGTAGTAGTAGTAGTAGTAGTAGTAGTAGTAGTAGTAGTAGTAGTAGTAGTAGTAGTAGTAGTAATAGTAGTAGTAGTAGCTGTTATGGTAGTAATGGGAGTAGTAGTCAGTATGCTCGTAAACATACTAGTAGTAGCAGCAGTGGTTTTTGCAGTCGAAGTCGTAGTAGTAGTAGTAGTAGTAGTAGTAGTAGTAGTAGTAGTAGTAGTAGTCGTAGTAGTAGTAGTAGTAGTCGTAGTAGTAGTAGTAGGAGTAGTAGTCATAGTAGTAGTAGTAGAAGTAGTAGTAAAAGTAGTAGTAGTAGTAGTAGTAGTAGTAGTAGTAGTAGTAGTAGTAGTACTAGTAGTAGTAGTAGTAGTAGTAGTAGTAGTAGATGTAGTAGTGGTAGTAGTGGTAGTAGTGGTAGTAGTAGTAGTCGTAGTAGTAGTAGTAGTAGTAGTAGTAGTAGTAGACGTCGTCGTCGTCGTGGAAATAGTCGAAGGTAGAAAAACTAGGAGGTAGTA